ATCTTAATTTTAATCAATACCAAACAGAGGCTGCATTGATAGGGTAGAAATGGCTAAAATGAAAATCAAATATCAAAATCATAATATAGGACAGAAGTAAACCTTTCCAGATCAAAGCCTCCAATTCCAAGAACATAGTCTAAGTCAACATTTCCATATTTCGTTCGCTTCAGTTGAGCCATACGATTTATGTTCTGCACTCCACCAACTAAAAATTAGTGAAGGTGACTTGGAAACAAACAAAAACAGGATAGGAAAAAACAGGCGCAAAGACAGATTAGGGAGAATTTGTAAGGAAATCTACCCTTATTCTCTCAACCAGTGAAACAATCTCTGGTTCACCAACAAGATCAGTCTGCAATCACAATGGAAATTATCTAGTTAAACTTTAGAACGCCAAATATATCACTGGAGGCAAGATGCAGAACAATATTCCAAGGTTTTCTTTACAAAACACGTCATAAAATTAGTAGAAGATACACCAGTAGGAGTACACATAGCAATTAAATAGCAAGAAAAAATTTCCATTGTGGCCTCTTAGTTCTTTTAGTTGCTGCATTATAAGATTCTTGAAGCAGGATAAGAATCCAGATTATAAAACAGAAGTACAGATAAACTAGAAATTGTCATGATTTGCAGAGTTTTCCGTTATAATTTGATCCGGAAACACTTACAAACCTATTACATGATATAAAGATAAATTGTACCTTGTTTACTATAATACGGTCAGCATAAGCAATTTGCTCTACTGCCTCATTTACTACTCCTTCAGGCTTAATCTCATCAAGGTGCAAACCAGCATGTTTAGCATCCACCAGCGTAACAACGCCATCAAGTTTAACATCATTAAAAACCTGATCCTCGGCATAAAATGTTTGAATGATCGGGGCTGGATTTGCTAATCCTGGAAAGGTGAGGAAGAATGTGATGTTATTGTAGCAAGAGGATGTCAAAATATCTATTGAATATAGCATCTGAATTTCTTTTGTTCATCACTTCCTATCGCACTTAACTTTACATATTTCAAACAATGTTTGAGAATCTTATATGTTTGCAAATCTTATCGTTCTATTTCTTAATGACTACTAATTCAATTTTGCAAATCATGAGTATTTCAACCTATATTTCACAAAGCTATTTTAGGGTAAGGATACCCTATGAACAACACCGAGTTGATTTCTTGTGCAAAATGATTTCCACTGCGAAGCAATTTCTTAAACATCAACTAGGGTATTAATACCAATATTTAAGAAGTTTTGTGCAAAATGATTTCCACTGCGAAGCAATTTCTTAAACATCAACTAGGGTATTAATACCAATATTTAAGAAGTTTTGACTTGAAATTTAGGGTGTTAATATCCATGATTTTTACAGATGATATAGGGTAGTAGTACTCACCAGATGATAAAACTTTAAATTTTTTATGTTAAGAAATATGGGAAGGATGATATTTGAATTTAAAAGATAAATTTCTTTTCAAAGACAAAGTACTAGAGTATGCACAACTCAATGTCTATGAAGAACTAGGAAAACCGATCTCAATGATGTGCTAGCAACGATCAGCTAAGAGATGGCATCTCCCGTCAGATCCAAATTAACCTTTCCAACACCCAACCCTAACCCCACCAGCCTCACACCA